GAGGGGAAGGCTCCTGCTCTAGCTCTCAATCCAGGGAGGTGCTGTTTTTCTGAATTTAAAAAGAAAGCACAAAATTTGTGTGGAAGGAGGGTGCTGAGGACACAGGGACGGACGGGGGTAGGTCTGGGGTCCCTGTGAACCCAAACAGGTCAGAGTCCTGGGGTTTAAATGGGAGGGGCACTAACTTTTGGGCTTCATCCTTCTCTATCCTCTACACACGCACACACGCATGCCAACACACACACACAGGCACACACACACACACATTTTCTTATAAAAATCTATTTAAGGAATCTAGCAATGAACCTGTGTGCTCTAAGTCTGAGCTCCCCAACCCAAATGGCTAGGGCGTGGTGAGAGGCCCACTCCTAATGCCTAACCGTGTTGCCCATTAGGGCCATGAGTGATGTACCTTCTCTGAGGCCTCCTGCCAGTCAGGGTCAGATGGCCTTGTGTCTGAATGCCACTCCCAGGTTGGGTATCTTGGCCAGGCTTTTTGTATCTCACTTTCTTCAACTGTAAAATAGAGCTAATGTTAATGATACCCACATGGAAGAATTGTTGTGAAAAATTGAAGCTTACATGGACTGACATCACTGAAGTCCCAAAGCACAGTTCCTGCCTTGGAATTACCATTCAGTAAACAGTGACTATTGTTATTTTCAGGGGCTTTTGACCCACGGGGTCACCCACGATTCACCCACCCGTCTTTAGCCTCCAAGCAAACTCCAGTGATCCTTTTCTGAAAATCTGTGCAGAAAGGGAGAAACATTCCAATTCTAACACAGGGGACAATGTCCTGAAGAGCTAATCTGAATCTTTCTTGCTGAAGTAAAACATCACTTCCTAGAACAGAATTTTACAACCTTGTGTGTGTGACAGAATCACTTCTGGAGCTCTGGGAAAAAAAGAAGAAGAAATTTTACCTTAGACCTACTGAGTCACAATTTTTCTGACCTTGTGAGTGCCAGAACTGACCTGAGTGGATTCCTCATCTTAGTTAGGATCCTCCTTCTGTCCCTGGGGAGCTGCCCAGATCCCAAGAGCACAGCCAGAACAAACCAATTCCCCTATGATTCTCATGTCGAAGTTGACCTAAGTTATCTTCAGATCCTCACTGAAGCTGGGCAATGGAAATCCTTATAGTCTATATCTTTTGTTTTGCATATGCAACATCAATTCCCCTCTCTTTTCATAATTGCTCCCCAGACAACGGTTTCTTTTGGGGAACCACTCCAGTCCATGTGGTTGGAGGAAGACAACCCTGTTCTAGACCTAAGAGTGGGTATGTCACCCACACCTGGCCGTCCATCTAGAATGCTCCATCCTAGGACCATTCCATGTCCCTAGCCAGAGCAACTGAGTTAGGATGGGCACATGACCCAAACAAGGCTAATGAAAAGCACTTCTGGGATTTTTTCTGGAACTCTTGAAAAAGGACAATTCTCTCTCTGATGGTACTAAGCCAATGGAATGTAAGCCTGGAGGCCATCTTGCCATGAGGACTGGAAAGCCTACCTGAAAATGAAGCCAATGCAGAGGAAAACATAGAAGGCTTCTACATACAGAGAGTGTCTTTGGATACAGCCTGAGGTTTTTAGTTATGCAGGCCAATGCATTTCTTTTTGATTTAATAAAATAGTCTCCTTTCAGTTTCTGTTACTCACAATCCAGCAGTTTCTGATTAATACACCCATTTTCCACAACAAAAAGAACTTTTCTGAGGACTTTCTGTGGGCAAGGATTGGGAAGGCCTATGGCATACACCCCGGCCTCTAAGAAGCTTACAGTTAGGTAAAAGAAGACTGGATTCCATGTTGCAAGAGAATTAAGAATAGGAAGAAGCCCTGTTAGCCTCCAAATGTCAGTTGTGCTTAAGAACACAGAAGATAAGAGGAGGGAGAGATTCCAGGGAAGGGGACAAAGATGATAAAAAGATTTTAGAGGAGAGCGAACATGAGAAGAACCAAACATTGTGGTGAGGAAGTGAAGCACTTTCAGGCCAGGGTTGGGGGGAGGGTGGCCAGAACAGTCCTTGTGTGATCTGCCTGGAAAAAATGAGCTAAGGGGCACCTGGGTGGTTCAGTTGGTTAAGTGTCTGACTTTGGCTCAGGTCACGATCACATGGTTGGTGAGTTTGAGCCCTGTATTGTGCTCTCTGCTGTCAGCTTCAGATCCTCTGTCTCCCTCTCTCTCTGCCCC